ATTTTGACATTTTTCATATTTTGACATTGACTAGAAATACAGACTTGGACCCATGGGTATTATGGTTAACTGAAACTGAAAACAAAATGTTATTAAAAGTTTTACTTAAAATAAAATAATAACTATAATGATATTATGAAACATAAACTTATTTCAAGCGATCTGCCATTTTTCCCCATTTTAATTAATTTCAACTTGATGTACTAAAATAACTCAAACTAAAACTGAAATACAATTAATAAAAACTACATACACAAATTAAAAAAATAAAAACAAAAAAAACACAAGAACATTATTGAAATGTGAATTTAAATTAAAAATGTAAATATAAATATTATAATAAAAACAAATTGTGACGAGTGGGGCGGGGCCAAAACACTCAAACTAAAACTGAAATACAATTAATAAAAACTACATACACAAATTAAAAAAACAAAAACAAAAAAAAACACAAGAACATTATTGAAATGTGAATTTAAATTAAAAATGTAAATATAAATATTATAATAAAAACATATTGTGACGAGTGGGGCGGGGCCAAAACATATTTACAAAAAAACTATAATTGTATATAATAGTATCTCAATAATACTAAAATAACACTGTTTAGAATGACATGAGTAAACAATAATAGAATTTTCTCTTTAAAGTAGTAATAATCAATACGAAACAATGGGTAGTTCAAATGTGTATGTGTGTGTGTGTGTACCTGGTATTCCTAGAAAATACAGTTTGTGCAGTATAAAAATCATTTTGTCTATGGAATGTTGTATGGAAATGGAAGTCTGAGGACACTGAGTATTATTTTCATGCACTTGAGCTTTGGCTTTTCACAAGAGCGTTTATAATGTCATCCTCTTTTCTCTTAAATTGGCAGTGACGACCAAGACAAATTAAACAGAACAACCCCTGAAACCATAAAAATGCCCTGCATCAAATTAGGCTGTTATGTTTAGACTGAAAATGAAAAGGCTATTCCATTTAAACAAGGGGAGGTTTTCTTTGAACATATCTACACTGTACTCAAACAAATTACCTGTGCGTGGGTCGAATCATTTCCTAAATAAATGATAAATGGAATAGATATAAGGAGAATCTCTCCCCGGCCTATTAAAAATGAGAAGAACTCTAATTTCCATTTCCAAGCCTAAAAGGAAAACAGAATCTGATCTTGTCAAGTGAATAAGCGCATACTTTATTAATGTCTATTCCTATTGCTTTTAGAGTTTCCTTTTAAATTCAGTCTGTCTAAAAAGCCAATTCCCTTTGGGAGGACAAGATCACCCTTACCATTTTGTCTCTGTTCAAAAATGCCCCAGTGACGATTAATGACGATATGAATGAGTCATGTGCGCCATATAGAAAAGTGCACCGTGCGCCATCAAAACGGATGTCAATATGTCACAGCCGAGCTGACAGCATGCCATAAAGTAAAATGAGACGTATGCCACAGCAGGTGTTGTGATAATGAATGGTTTTGTCATGAATGGTTCTCTCGGAAAGTGTGGAAGAGAGAGAGAAAAAAAAAAAGATTTCTGACATTATGACATGAGATGTATGTAGATGGCAGATATTACATTCAAAAAATTATTTTTATAATTTTACTTTTCATTTCTCTCTCTATATATAGGAAAACGTTGCCATATGCCAACAGTGTACCACAATGGAAATGAGTTTTTCTATTAAATTTTGATATTCTTTTCAATTGAAATGCATATTTCTTTTACATATTGATGCATCCGATCTTAATTTCCATCAAAATCTGCCACACACATAC